GGCAGACAACAAAAAGTTGGGTTTTGTTTCTTAATCCATTCATCTAATCTGTGTCTTTTGACTGGGGAGTTCAGTCTTTTAATATTTAAAGTTATTAATGAAAGATGAGTATTGAAACTTGTCATTTTTATTTCTGTTTACATTCTTGATATAGCTGTACTTTTCCACAGTTATACCTTCATTGGATTTCTTTCTGCAACCCCTTGGGTATAGTCATTCCTTTCTTCAGCTCTTTGTATTGCTTCCAGAACTCTCTGAAGGGCTGGTTTTGTGGACATGAATTCCTTCAGCCTATTTATGTCATTAAGGGAGGTGATGTTTTAAAATGATGTGGTCCGCTAAGGCCTGACCACATACCTTTGAGTAGAACAGATTTGTTCCTGTGTCAGGGGATTAAAACTCAGGATATTCAAAACCCGAGAGCATGTCTAACTGTGGGGCTGTCCATAGACCAGGAAATATAAAGCATGTTACTTGGAGAAACTACCACAGTCCTTCAAAAGCCTCAAATTTCTCAAAGGCAAATTGCCTTTTCTTTATAGTGTGTGGTCACACCACGTTCTTATCTCAAAGGTAGATGTTGTGTGTGATTGAACACTGTAAAGTGGTCCTTGTGTCTGGAGCCTCAAGGACTCCCTGCACACAGAGCACATGACGGATTTTTGATGGGGTCTCTTACCTCTCCCGGTTGGTGCTTCCACTTCACCTCTCCCACCCATCCCACTTCCACCTGAGCCACAAGGCCCTGCCCAGGCTTTCTCCAGGCACCTGATTGAGGCTGCCCTCCATGCAGCTGCAGTTCCATGACCATTCTCATCTCTCTCCTGCCTCATGCTTTCTCTCTGCCCAGTGACAGGTGTGGATGGTGTATTACTTCTTATATGTTCTGTAAACCTCTATTCTCAGAGCAGCACTTGGCACCTCCGACCCTCAAATGGAACTCACGAATGAATGGATGACAGGGGGGTGGAAGGCGGCGTGATCCCTGGGTGGAGAGACAGATAAATAGATGGAAGGATGAGTTAGTCAGAGGCATCCACCCTCTGACCCACCAATCACATGGGCTCCAGGACAGCTGTGAGTGCAGCCCAACACAAAATTGGAAATTTAAAACAGTATGTGATTTTTCCCCCCTAGTTAAATCACATAGTTTTGAGCATGAACTTCATAGATGATAACATAGTCCAGAGATGACACCCCCTGAAGGGATGATGGTTGAATGGATGAATTCTAAATTCATGCCTCAGAAAAAAATGGTGCAGCATTTTCACCTGTGAGGTTGAGCACAGACTCTGAAGATCTGCACTGGATGATATGGGAGGCCAGGGCTGGGTGTCTTGCCAGGCATGGTGACCTGATGTTACCCTGGGACTTTTGGCTGATCAGGATGTGTCGCGAGCCGGGACTCTGTCCAGCAGAGTCCAGGAAAGATGACACAGACACCAAGGTGAGGTTCAAGCTTCTGTTTCTTTTTCTTCCTTTATTCTCTCTTATAGTCTCTTCATTATCTCACCCACTATGATGCTGCTCATTCTTCCTATTACACACTTCAGCTCTTTATATAGCGTTTCCAACAGCCCTCCCCCCAGCCGGTATCAATCAGGGCTCACACACGTGCAGCGGCCAGGCAGAATCTAGCTCATAGGCATGTAGCAAGATCACCAGGCTGGCAGCACCTGTTTGGCCTCTCCATACTTTGGAGTAAGCAAGCGGGAATCACGAGCCTTGGCACGTAGCAAGATCATCAGGCTGGCAGCACCTGTTTGGCCTCTCCATACTTTGGAGTAAGCAAGCGGGAATCACGAGCCTTGGCAATCAGCCAGGAGTTGGAGTAAACAGCACGAGGTTTGGCAGCCAGCCAGGGCTCCATCTTTGGCTGGCTCGGCTGTGCTCGCTTCCCACATCTCCCCCTTTTTGTTTTAATAAACCAAGGGAGGCCAAGGGACCGTGCCTGGCTTAGGTTTCCCTCTTTCACTTGGCATCCTTACCCGTCATCAACTCGGCAACATCATGGTTGTCGGTCTGCCTTAGGTTGGTATGCAAATGAGAGGGTCGTACCCGTCATTGACTACCGGTCCAGCACGTCTAGCCAAATGCGGAGGTGACTTGCCCTTCTCTAAGGCAGCCATAGCCTGTGCAAGCTTTTGCTGTTGGTGAGCTGTTTGCTGCCGCATCTCTCACACACACACACCATACAGACACAAGCAGCAACCGGCAGGAATTCCCAAAAGCCATGGCCCCCTATTCTTAAGGCTAAAGGTGCCCTACATAGCCTCCCGCCACTGCTGCACAGTGGCAATCTCTACTCGGGTGTTATTTGTTGCCACTTTTATCTAACAAACATGATTTACCAAATTCAACATGCCCGGAGGAAGCGGGCCTGTGGCATCAATACTATACAATTTGTTAAGCAAGAACCTTAATAAAATTTGCAAAGTTTACCTTCCATGATCTCTTAAGGAAGGCATTCAATAAGGCAATCAATTGTTTTACAGTATTGGCATTTTGTACATGGTAATGGGTAACACAAATATGATGAAAGAAATGAGAACATGTTAGCTGTTACTTAGCCCAAAGGGCATCAACTTGTTCTTGTAACAAGGCAGTTTGTTGATTTAAGTTCATGAGTCCAAGTTGTATGTTACACTGAGTTCTAAGTTTGCAGGACTTCACTAACTTCTCAACTGTGGAAGCTGTAACCGCAGTCTGAGACAGGCGATGCTAGCAGCGATGGCAGCAGTAGAAATGATGGCTATGCTAATGATAGCTGCTGTTATTCCAAAACCTCTTTTGCTTCTGTGCAATTTCAGTTCAGCACCTGGGGGAAAAACACAAACAGCTCCCCTCACCTGCGCTAACGCTGGCCACCTGTAGAGCCTGCTCTTGGAACTCTCCTCTCCATAATAGATAATAACCTCCTGATAATAACCTCCTGACAATACTGCTCTACACAACTGTTGCCAATCACTGGGTGTTAAGTATTGTGGATACACCTTAATGAATTTCAACAAAGTTTTAGGTTTATAATTTCAAAGATACAGTTTTTCAATTTCTTGTTCCTCCAAAACCCTTTTAATCTGATAATACAGTTCATGCTTACTTTGTACATTTCCCATATTCTCAAATATTCTTAAGTTCATGCTTACTCTGTACGTTTCCCATATTTGCAATTAACTTTCTCTTCACCACTACCTGTGGTCCTAACTTCATCATCAATCATTTATTTACCATCTATATCTATCTATCATCCATCTATCTATCTTCTATCTATCCATCTATCTATATCTGTCTTCTATCATCTATCATCCTATCTATCATCTATCTAGCTATCATCTATTATCTATTATCTATCATCAATCATCTATTATCTATCATCAATCATTATTTATCATCTATCTACCTCTATCTATCTATCTATCTATCTATCTATCTATCTATCTATCTATCTTTCTTTCTTTCTTTCTTTCTTTCTTTCTTTCTTTCTTCTTTCTTTCTTTCTTTCTCTCTCTCTCTTTCTTTTTTTCTTTTTTGGTTTTTATTTTGAAACAGGGTCTCACTCTGCAGCCCAAACTGCCCTAGAATTCATTATGTAGCCCAGGTTGACCTTGAACTCAGGGCAGTCCCTTGCCATAGACTCATGAGTTACCATGCTCAGCTGAGACTAGGCTTTTGTAATGATCCACTTATACATAGATGTATTGTGACCCATGTGCTGTTTGCTTTAGCTGCTCAGGGACACAGGAATGCACACAAGGGACAGAAATGCTAGCGTTTGGATTCTAGTTGGTGGAGGCATGCACAATGAAAAATCATATCAGCTCATTAGAAGTTAAGTGCTAAGGAGAAAGTGCAGGGGAAGGGGCACTGAAAGTGTGGACTTAGAGCTGGAGAGATGGCTCAGTGATTAAGAATACTGGCTGCTGTTCCCAAGAACACTGTTCAGTTCCCAGCACCCACATGGTGGCTAACATCCACCCTAAACTACAGTTCCAGTATATCTGATACCCTCGTCTGGCCCTTATTACACACATCAGCTCTTTATATAGCGTTTCCAACAGCCCTTCCCCCAGTCAGGACCAATCAGGGCTCACACACGTGCAGCGGCCAGGCAGAGTGCAGCTCGTTAGCCACGTAGCAAGATCATCAGGCTGGCAGCACCTGTTTGGGCTCACCATACTTTGGAGTAAACAAGCGGGAATCACGAGCCTTGGCAATCAGCCAAGAGTTGAAGTAAACAGCACGAGGTTTGGCAGCCAGCCAGGGCGCCATCTTTGGCTGGCTCGGCTGTGCTCGCTTCCCACAAGGATGTTAGATGTGGTCATCCAGGAGGGTCAGTAGCATGGTGACATTTCTGAGGTAGGGTAAGGGATGGATAGGAGCCAGGAAGAACGGGAGGCAGCTGAAAGGGTTTATGTAAGTTTACACATATTTAGTTTTTCCTTGTAAAATACTAATCTCTTAGGAAATTTAGAATATTGTCAAGAGTGATATGTACATTTGTGTGTGTGTGTGTTTACACAGTTTTTATGTTTTCTTTCTAGTGTAACTATGTTTTCACCAAAGACTAACATGAAGTACAGTAACAACAGATCTTCAGAACGCAAGAACAGTTATAAATGGTATGTGATTGAATGCATGTGTTAGGTAAACTTGAAGTAACTTAGAAACACTCAAGTGCCTTCATAATTTTTAAAGCATATAAGATTGCATATGTATAAATATGAACATAAATATGAATATATATCATTGATATATGTTATGTGGGTCAAATTTAAAAATTATTTGGACATACTACTTTTTTTTACTATGTTACCAGTTTTGAAATTCTGAAATATTGCTAAAGTGAAGTTGTTGGAAACAGTGTGTCTGATAACCATACCTAAGAAGTATTTCAAGTCGCGGTGGTGGCAGAGGGGGCAGTGGTAGTGCCAGATATGTGAAGACACTACTTCTGAGTGGTATTGTTGGCTCATTGACCTGCAAGTCTCTCTGTGCCCAAGTGTCTGTACAAGCGAGTTTGGGGATCTTGAGCTTGTCTCAGGCTGTACTTTAAGATTATGTTGTAGGAAAAACAGACCATGGGCTACCAAATTTGACACTCATTTTAACATACTTCACACCTGCATTTAAACAGTCATGATGACTATAGAAATACTTGTTGGAGCATTGGCTTTTTTGATTGACATGTATCAGTTGCACATATTACTGAGGTTCAATGTGATGTTTCTATATATATATGCAATGTGCCTTGATGAAGTTGTCCCACTTCAACTGCTCTCCCATAACCCTAACCCAACCACCAGTCATCACTACTCTACATCCAGGACAGTTTTCTGTTTAATTTCATTTAAAGCTTACACACAAGAAAGGGAACATATGGTATTTGAGGTCTTGGGTCTGGCTTATTTCAGTTAATATAACACCCTCTAGTTCCATCCATTTTGCTGCGATGGACAGAACTTTATTATTTTTTAATGGCTGCATTTCTTTTTTAAAGATTTACTTTTATTTTGGGGTGTGTGTGTGTGTGTGTGTGTGTGTGTGTGAATGTTCATGTGAGTGTATTGCAGGTATGGTGGTATCCAGAAAAGGGCATCAGGTCCTGTGAAACTGAAGTTAGAGGCTGTTGAGAGCCCAATGTGGGTACTGGGACCTGAGCTTGGGTCCTCTGAATGAACAGCAGCTTCCCTTAACCTCTGAGCCATCACTGCAGTCCATCGCTGGATGTTTTCCATGGTGCATAGGCACCATGCTTTCTTCACTCAGTGATAAGTGCAAACCTAGGATGACTGTGTACCCTTAGCTGTAGTGAACAGTTCTTCAGTAAACACAGGCAGGCAAATCACTCTTTGGTAATGATTTCGTTTCATTTCAATACCCAGGAGTGGATTGCTGGATCATATGGTAGTTTTAATTTTAGTTTTTTGAGGTGCCTCCGTATGGCTGTGTTCTATGGTGACTGTTCAAATTCATGTCCTGGCTAACAGTGGAGAAGATTCCCTGTTTCTTACATCCTCACCAGCATTTGTCATCGGTTAGTTTTTGGATAGTAGTCTTACTGAGTGGAATGATATTGTAGCTCTTTATTATTGCATTTTCCTGGCACCTGGGATAGTGAGAATTTCTCATGTGCTTGTTGGTCATTTGTATTCTGTTGAGAGGGGTATATTCAGAGTATTTTAAATGGTCTTTGATACTCTGTGTATGATTTTTACTCATGTATATTGGCATTTTTTTCCTTTTCCTTTTTAAAATTTTAATACTTTTAATTTTATATTTATGGTATATTGCCTGCATGTATGTAAGTGCACCTATGTCGTGCAATGCCCACAGAGGTCAGAAGAGGGCATTGGGTTTCCTGGAACTGGAGTTATGGACAGTCGTTAGCCACCATATGGGTGCTGGGAACTGAACCTGGGCCCTCTGCAAGAGCAGCCAGTGCTCTTAACCGCTGAGGCATCTCTCCAGCTCTGACATTTTCTTCCTTTCATTTTCTGCTGGTCTCCACTTCAGTAAGTAATCATGTGCCTGCAGCAAATGTGTCAAACCTGATGGAGCATGTGGTGCTTCCAGTGACTCTGGGCCATACACAGCAGCCTAAACCCTGATGGTCTTGGTGGTACTTTCTCTGCTGAGGAGCCCTGTTTATACAGTGAGCTCTTTTCTCCTGTGAGGAGCCTGCTTTATGCACTGAGCAAGACACTTGTGTGGTTTTGGCTCTAGTGGGAACTTGAGAGAAGTGAAATGGCTAAGTTCTTTAAGGACATTGAGGTTTTTTCTCATGAAGCAGGCCTCAGATGTGTCAGAAATCAGCCTTACCAGCTTCTGCTGAATGTGAATATATAAACAAATGGCTCCAGCTTCAGAAGAGTATCCAGGATATCAACTGGGTCTTTCCTGGGTATTTGCTTTTCTGTTATTTCTGCCACATCAGCAGGCAGGCTCTTGTCTTTTTTTCAGTATGGGGACCTCGCAGGGGGCAGAATGCCAAGGTCACACTCCACAAGGAGAGCAGGACTTCATGGCTCACAGGTCCCCAGGCTGCAGGCTGCTGAGACCCTTATTCATGGGCCCATGCTCCCTCTGCACCGTCCTAAGAGACCAGAGCTGTCCACTCCTTCGCTGCCTTCAGTGTCAGCACCCCTTGCCTTTCCCATCGTCCTTGGTTTCTTTTAGAATGTGATGGTATTTTTGGCAGATATAAACCAAGTATAGATTATTTGAACACAGGTCATCCACAACTGTTGGATGGTTTGATTTATGAGTTTTTGCCTTTACAAGGGTACAAAAGCAATGACCACTCAATGGAAACCTACTTTGGAATTTGGATTTTGAGCTTTTCTGGGTGAGTGGTATGTGCTGTGGTCCTCTCTTGGGATTCTGAGCATCAGCATGAACTACAGTTCCAAGTTCAGGGAGATGACCCACATTTACCACGCTCACCAGGGCACTGTTGCCAGTATGTTTTGGATCCAGGTGTTCAGCACATTACGTGGATATTTAGTGCTTTTATGGAACAGAATTTGTGTTAGGTGATTGGCATGGTGTGGGTTCATGAGAGTGTTTAGATGAACTCATAGTAGGTGAGGTTGAACCCCAAAGGTCTCTGGGTAGGTACATAAAATGTATTTCTGACCTAGGATATTTTCAGCTTTTGATGGATTTACCTAGTCATGACCCCTGCTGGAAGCTGAGGAGCACCTATAGTTAGTATTATGATAACAGTCCATATGAATATGAAGCCAGGGGCTTCGAGGATGGTTCATGGGCAAGAGGGCTCGTGATATAAACAGAAGGACTTGATTTTGAACCCTTGTCACCCACATAAAAGCTGGTTAAGAGTACCTATAACCACAGTGTTGAGGGAGGAGACAGGAAGATCCCAGTAGTTCATTGAGGACTGATGTCTGACATTTGACCTCTGGTCTCCTTTTGTACATGCACACATGTGTACATTAACCCTCCCCACACGTGCCCCTGCACTCACACACACATATGCACCTGCAAAGACATATGTCTTTGACAATATGGAATACAAATGTTTTAAAGAGTTGTGATTTTAAGAGTTTATATAGATTTTCAAGTTTATAAATGGATATGTGTGAGTAGAGGGAAATGTTCTTTATTTCTAGTTTGTTTTTTTTCTAACTCACACTTGAAATTATCTTGACTTCTGTGACCTTCCTTAAAGTGACAAATACTGTTTGGAGAGTTTCCTGCCCCACAAGCTCAGCAGGCAGGTTGCTATGGCCCAGGAGCCCGTGGCAATGAACTGTCTGCAGTTCTCAGGTAGGTCAAGCCCCTTGGAAGCATTTGCTCCTTTCATCTATGACCAGATTCTGTCCACTGCCCCCAGGCAAAGTTGTTTTTGAAGGTCTCACTACTGATGTCTCCTGGCATGGTTTGGGTCAGGAGTAAAGGGAGCTGCAGTTGTACTTGACAAGGGTCAGGTTCTGCAACATAGCACTTCCTTCCTGCGATGCTGACAGGGTGACACGTACACACTTTCCATGATAATGTCTTCATCCAGGAGCCTGTCAGGATGGCTCTCTATAGACAGGGGCTGGGGATGTGGCCTCCCAGGCAGTATGAGGCCTTGACGCTGGCCTATGAGCTGTGTCCCTTCTTCAGCCGGTCCTTGTCCCATAGGGCTGAGCAGCTCTTGACCGCCCCAGCAGCCGCTGTACTCCCACCTTCCAAGCCGTTTTTTCTGGGACCTCATGTTTTCTTAGTTAGGTCTGGAAGAAGTGGAGTGGGGGCTGTGAAGGCCGTGGTTTTATGGGAGCAGGTCCAGACTGCCAGACTCCGCCTGCCTGGACCCCTTCAAAGCATTTTTTTGTGGATCATCTAAAGTTAACATAGTTTACAGCTCTGCTAAGTTAAATTAACTGTACTTTTCATATAATTCTAGCCAAGTAATTTTTGAAAATGTAGCGCTATCAGTAAATATCTTTCTGATGTTTGCTATACTTTTATACATTAGCACCTTTGGTAAAAATCCTCAGCTTTGACCATTGTGGATTAAATCTATGATTTATATCTACCCAGTTTTGGGGGAATCACATTTATTTATTTTTATTTTATGTGTATGAGTATTTTGCCTCCATGCATGTATGTGCACTGTGTGCTTGCCTGGTGCCTGTGGAGACCAGAAGAGGGTATCAGATCTCCTGGAACTGGAATTACAGGTGATTGTGAACTGCCATGTGCATGCTGGGACCTTAATCTGGGTCCTTTGCAAAAGCAACAAGTACTTTTAACCACTGAGAAATCTCTCCAGTCCTGATAATATTTAATCAAATATAACTGCACAGCTGAATATACCTCTTAGCCAACCTATTGGGCAAGGCAGACCTGGCATAGTGTTCGGGGATCATAGGTTCCCAGCTCCTACTGGGCAGCAGCCCTGAAACCTAGGGCTCAACTCTGTTCTTTTTGTTCCTCTTCTGTGAGCAGAAGCTGGAATGACCCCATTGGCATCTGTGCTTGAGGTTTGGGGAGATCATGTGAGGTCCTGATGGGGACTTGGCTCAGGGCTTGGCACCCGGCAGACTCTCCCTTCAGGCTGACAAGGTCAGTGAGCCTTGTTATGTGCTGCTTCAGATTCCTCACTACCTAAGAAAATGATTCTCCGCTTACCTGAACATTATTATCCACTTTGTTGACTGACCACTGGGACTCCCAGGTTCTGATTTTATGAGGGGTGTTTATTTTTTTTTAAACAGGTGAAGGTCGGCGGTTGGCCTGTGGCTTAGCCAATCATCTTTTCCTGGTCTTTGGTGCTGGTCTTTTTGGAACACCTGCCACTTTTTCAGGTAATCTTATTCTTGAGAAACAGAATGTGAGAGAGGAATGGTCTTGTGGACCCTAGTTGTCGGCAGCTGACTGGACTTCAGTCTCCTGTGCACAGTGGCTCAGAGCCAGGCTTGGGCTCAGGGAAAAGGATGATGGAGCTACTGAATCAGGTGTTGGGGAGCCTGAGCCCTCCCCAGTGCGTAGCCTCGCTGAAATAACACAGTAGCTCTGGCCAGGGCCCTCATGGGCAAAAGCCAGACTATTTGAAAGGTTTTAGGTATGAAAGAAATCCAGTCCTACAGAGCTGAAATAAGTTTAATTAATTTAACAAAAAGATATCTTTGAGATGTATTTTGAAATTTAGTAGGGTTTGTAATAGGTGTTTTAGTAAGTGCAATAGGTAATGACATTTCTAAGAAAGTAAACTGAGATGAGAGCAGCAAGTTTAGGTTACCACTGAGCCAGCTTCTAACTCTGACATGTGTGTGTTCCTAGTTCCTAAGCCAGGAATCTTTAGCTCTTCATTAGATTCTGGTCCTGTTTGCTTAGAAACTTACACTTGCTAGATATTTTTACTGAATACAAACATATACACACAAAACTCTTTGGTAGTCCATTTGCCTTTGTGTATGGTACCTGTGCAACACTGGACACTGTCTCGAGTTGCCTGAGGATTGTGAAGCACAGACATGGGTGTGAGATGATATACCAGGAAGGTGGTGAGGCCAAGACCCTGTGAGGCCATGCCTGGGATCATAAGCTCTGGTCCAGGTAAGGTGGGACTCTGGCTTAACTTGAGGTGTCTAGCCTGCATCAGGATCCCTGTGGTATCCAGGGCAGCACTTTGGCTCCTGGGGATGGAGCACTTTCTCTTTTGACTGTGGTGCACCCTTTTAACTGCAGCCCTTCTCTTCCTCACCTCGCCCAGCTTCTGCCCCTGTACCCCCTGCATTCTGTGGCTCCTCCAGGCGACTACTGAAAGTCACCAAGTATATTCAGGGAGCCTCAGGGCAGGTGTCTTTCTGGGATTGATCAGTGGTGTAATAATCGCTGGGTTGAGAGGAGGCAGATGGGTGTGTTTCTTATTCTTAGGAAAAGGGCTTCTTTTTGACAGAAGAAAATGTGGCAGATTGAAACTCATTTAAACTCATCCTTAAAAATCCTTGCATGAAGTTTGGCAGGGGTGGGGAGGTTCGGAGAGAAGAGGTGGTAGGCGTACTAGAAGAGCTGAGGGAGTCGAGGGTTGGTGTGTCATAGCACAGCATATGTGTGTGTGAAAATCTCCAGCTATAAATAAAAATAGCAAAGCCCCCTTGCTGTCTGTTTCGGGAAAGCAGCCTTTGCTGTTACAGCACATCACCTCACTTTGTGTCTCTGCTCAGTAGTTGTGCAATTCTGTTTTGAAGCTGCAGTTGGTTTCTCAGCACCACTGAACAGATCAGTGGGTGTTTGTGTTACTGTCACAAATTATACAAGTGTAAATTGAACTTTTCTCTCTGAGGACCCCACGGTCACTCAAGGCAAGACCCTTGATACCTGGCCTGGAAACTACAGATGACAAGCATTCTTAACCTGAAAGGGACTTTGATGTTTGTGCTTCGGAGTTTTGAATGAGGCCACAAAATTTGTTTCATAGATGGATTATGGGTCTCAGTTCTCTTGCTTCTGCTCCATGTGTGGGGCACAGTGGAAGGACTCAACCCCATTACCATGGACTGAGCTTGCCAAGAGTGAAGGATATAATGGTTGGGTTTGGATCACATGTTTCAGACAGCTAACCCCAGCTAAGATGTCATTGAAGATTATGGAATTATATAAAATGTGATGATATTTACAAAGGATGACGTTAAATCCAAGTGTCGCGCTTCATTTTCTGAGGTCCAACCTTCTTGAGCCCTACCAAGTTACCCCTTGTCTCTTAGTGGGGCCACCCTCTCTGGCCCTATTTCCTGTGGCTGTGTCTGTCCCACATGCACAGTTTTCTCGAGCAAAGCCCCCATCCTGGAGAGAAGAGGCCTATAGCGCCACATGTCATAATTCCCTTAATTCTGTTCTTTGTCTCTGAAGAAGCTCCCTAGGTGTGGCCCACCTGCCGGGCAGCTGTGAGACATTGATGTTCACATGGCTATGTGGTTGGTCAAATATACTTGGGAAAGTGCTGTCCCATGAAGAACATAAAGCCTTTGTGCTTGGCTCTTGGAATATCATCTTTAGAAAATACTTTATAATAATGAAATTGGGAAGAGGGGAACGAAGGAGCCTGGATGTGGTTCCATGTGGTCATATCACTTAGTTGATGGTATGGAGTCCTTGGCTCTATAGGGACCTCTGTGTTCACCTCAGTAATTTGCATGCCATGTGCCACAACACCACAGTAGATCATTCATGTGCAGTCTCAGAAGGGGAGATGCTGTCATTCAGTCCATAAGCATCTGCTGGTCCTGTCCTGGGAGTGAGAAGGCCAGTCCCGGGTCCTCTGAGATGTAGTAAAGGACTAGACTATAGCTCTGGGCCCTGGTGAGGGCATCTGTCCATAATTCTGCTTTGTTTGTTGCTTGTGCTGACTTTCAAAGTCAAGTTGGCTGCAGTCTGGGAGGACAGCTGATGCTGTGGTGAGTAGAGGCCAGAGTGTAAGAAGAATGTTCTGGCCTTGACCGAATCATCAGCTGCTTCAGAAATCTGAACTCTGGTAGAATCGCTCCACCTGCTCCTCTCAGTCTCTCTACCTGTGGTTGGGGGTGGAGGTGGATCTAAACGTCCTTGTTTGGAATCTGAGGGATGTGAAGGGACAGGGTTGTACAAGTGTGGTCATTAGGTAAGGGTGCTCAGGTGTGTCCCATTTCCAGGGCAGCTGTAAGCCAATGCCATTCCAGTGGCAGTGTGACTGTGACTATCAGATGTGATTGGTGCTCAGTGGTGTTAGCTCAGATTCTTGTGTACTATGGATACAGTCACAGCTTTATTTTCTTGCTGCTTTTGGTTGCTGGCAACCCTGGTGAATTCTTGAGCCTTTTGAAAGGTCCTTAGCACTTTTGTGAAAACTACCAGAACCTGACACAAGAGGGCAGCAAAGCCATTTCACATATTTTCTGCTTGTTAAATTTGTTTCAATGTATATTTTTATTGAATTTTTGTGCATTTTATGCAATGCATCTTAATCATATTTGGATCCCTTCTCCTCCATAGCAACCTCCATAGCCTGACCATAGGATTTCATGTGTTCTGTTATATATGTTAAGACCTAGTAAGTCAAGTTTGCATACCCAGATGTCCCTTGGTGTGAGTTCATCCCCTGGAGCCTGTTCAGCCTATCTAGGGTCACTCCCTAGGAGACCAACTCTCCCTCACCCAGCAGTGAAAAGCTGTCAATATTTCTTTGGCCAAGGTTGGGGCCTGCTGCATGTTTCCCCAGCTTTATGCTGGCTTTTTGTCTGATTGAGTTTACATGGGTCTTTGCATGTTGTCAACATTGCTGGAAGTTCATATGAGCAAATTTCCAGAAACTTGGAAGACTGTTTTTTCTTATGGTCATGCATCACCCCTGGCTTTTAGTCTTTCTGCCCCCTCTTCTGCAATGGTCCCTGAGTCCTGGATGGGTCATGTCTTAGTTTGTTTCTTCATTGCTGTGACAAAACACTCTGACCAATACCAACTTGGGGAAGAAAGGGTTTATTCATCTTACAACTCCCAGGTCGCAGTTCATCAGGGAGCCCAAGGTAGGAACTCAGGGCAGGAGCCTGGAGGCAGGAGCCGGAGCACAAGCCATGGAGGAACTCTGCTTACTGGCTTGCTCCCCTGGCCCCTGCTTAGCCTGCTTTCTTATGCAACACAGGCCCACCTGCCCAGAGGTGGTACTATCCACAGTAGGCTGGGCCCTCCCACATCACTCAACAATAAAAAAGATGCCCGTCAGACATGGCCACAGGCCAGTCCAATAGAGTCAATTCCCCAATTGAGGCTCCTCAACCCAGGTGTGTCAAGTTGACACTAAAGCTAGCCAGCACAGGTGAGTTTTAATATAGGGACACACACACTCTGCAGTCTCTTATTCTCCACATTTTGGACAGTTGTGGTCTTCTGTGTTCATTGCCCTATGTTTCATGAAGAAGCTTCATTAGTGAGAGTTGAGAGATGTGTTAGTATCTCTCTTCCCCTGTTCCACTGTGTCCCATGAGCCTTAGATATAGAGGTTCCATTGTAGATGTGTCACTTAGGGCAGGGCACCATACAGACACTTATTCTTTGTGTGTGACCACTTGTGGAACTCTGTAATAGTCTCCATCTGTTCCAAAAAGAAATTTCTTTGGTGAGTGGTGACTGGTATTCTTGTCTGTAAATATAAGGACCCATATTTAGCATTCAGTAAGAAATTAAATTTGTCTAGGGATGTGATAGGGTAGTCACCCCACCCTAGTGTAGGGTTTGCTTTAGGGTCTTCTAGTCATATGTATTTGGCTATATATACAGTGCCACTCATGAGTTCCTTCCCATTGAGTGGGCTTTACGTCCAATTAGATAGCTGTTGATTACTCCCAAGGTAAAAGTGCCACTATTGCACCACTATAGTTTGCTGTGCCTGTCATTGTTGTGGTCGTTAACTTTAAAGCTGGGGTTAGGCCATTGATTGTTTTTTTTTTCTCCCTTAGCAGCTTGCATAATATCCTATAAAACTAAGAGAGCTAATCTTCAGGAAGGAGGCTTCCAGGTCAGTTCCAAATCCTGTGTCCAAAGCATGTCCTGTCTTCAGCAATAGGGTCTTATCTTCAAGTTCTGGGAGATAATCAAGGGCTGCGGCAATAGACTGTGTTATTGCTCTGTGCCTTGAGGTCCTGTTTCAGAGCTGACTTACACACTTACAAATCCTTTCTGGTTCTCCATTTTTATTTTGGTGGTTTTCTGACCGGTCTGCTCTGGTGATACCTGATTCAGCGACTGTCCTTTCAGTCACCATGTGCAGTTCCTATGCAGAGACCAGCCTGAGTAGGAGGTTCCTGCTTGGCAAGATGCTTCTCGGAGCTGTGGTTCTTTACTCTGTAGTTTTGTCGCATAGTGCACCGTGAGGTGAAATACAATTTCTCAGTGAACCTTGAATGCATGCCTGACATAGGGCAGCCTCCAGCTCCTGTCTGCCTCTTTCCACTTTGCTGTCCCATGGAGGAGCTCATGATGCTGTCTCCAAGTTCGCTTCTGTGGGTCCTTGGGCTCTTGGGCCTCTCACAACACTCAGGTGGCTGTGACCTAAGGAGACTGTTTCAAGTTTGCGTCTGAGAGGCTGAGGTCAAGATGCGGTCAGGAGACAGTGTGTCCCTGATCAGAAAGAGGCTGGGCAGTGAGGCATACAGAACTGAAAACTCCGGTAGACAGTGAAAGTTAGTCCTGGTCTGCCTGTGGTTCACTCAGTGGGTGTTGGTGTCACGTGCACATGTACACAAATGTGCTAGCACCTGTAGAAATCACACCAAGACAGGTGTGGTGACGTATACCATTAATCCCAGGAGGCAGAGACAGGCAAATCTCTGAGTTCAGGCCAGACTGGTCTACATAGAGAGTTTCAGGCCCTCTAGGGCTACACAGTGAGACCGTGTCTCATAGAAACAAAACAACAACAAAAACCAAACCAAACAAAACCCACACAACAACAAAACCATGTCCAAACGGCCATTTTGTGTTTAGCCAGGACTCTCCAGATTGGTCAGAGCAACTGATCAGGGTGCACGTAGAGCCTTCAGTGAGTCCTTTTGGCTTCCCTTTACTACAAAAAGAAAAAAGGCTCTTTAAAATACTGGTAAATTATCAGAGGGTCCACAGATTTCTGTATTCTCTTTAGAATACTGTTCCTTATAATGTCTTAGAAATTCTCATACACAGAATCACATTTCATCCTTTAAGAAATGAGAGTTGCCGGGCGTGGTGGCGCACGCCTTTAATCCCAGCACTCAGGAGGCAGAGGCAGGTGGATCTCTGTGAGTTCCAGGCCAGCCTGGTCTACATGGTGAGTTCCAGGCCAGCTGGGGCTACAGGGAGACCCTGTCTCAAAAAGACCAAAAAAAAAAAAATAGTAAGAGTTTAGAAAGGCCTTCTTTAGTGCAAGGCCATCTGACCCTGGGCCTGGCCCCTTGACATCACAGGAAGGGATGCCTCCAGGTGCACCCTTATTTCTCAAGAGGCGGCCCTGGCCTGCCTGGGGAAGTGCAGCAGGCACTCTCCTTGGTTTCCCTCTTATTCTGTGTCCTTAGGTCACAATGGAGTTGTGAGCACTGTCTGCTGGAGCCATGACAAGAAGTGGTTGCTGTCTGTAGGCTGGGACCAGACACTGAGGGTGTGGTCAGTTCGTAGGATGGAGCTCACGTTGCTTTTGGTAACGTGTCCATGAGCCTGTTTGTCATGGTGGGCAGTGATATTAAACTGCTGCATAGTTTTGAGCTGTGAAAGTCACAGCTGTCTCTCTTTAGCATGAGACTAATAATGGTTATAAAGGGGGAGTTGCCTCACTGAAGCAGAAATTATGGATGGCAAGACATTTTCTTGTCTACTTGTATCCATGCATGAAATGCATGTGTTCATTACGCAGGATACCATACTCTTGCTATGTGACATGTATATAGACACATACAGTTAATAATGCCCATACATGGTAGTCTGAAAATGGCAAAAATTCCATACTAAAATACTTGGATAGCTTTGCATGTTATTTCAGCATGATACCATAGAGATAACAGTGATACACAGGAGGGTGTTCTGTGTAGAAGTGCAATGGCTTTTTTAATGAATATATGTGAGGGTATTTGGAAGTGAAGATCACTGAAATCTCACTACTAAGATGGAAAGAAAGAGAAATGGTAAAAACTCCATCTCAACACATAGAATGAGGACCTAGTGAATTGGAACCTAACCCAAAAGAAGTGGTGAGATCTAATAAATGTTGGTGTTTTTCCTATGGGTTTAATACTCAGAGAGAACTTTGTGTGAAAGTGATAGAAACTGTACTTTGAACTTTGACCTTTTCCTGGGCTAGTGACCCATGAGTAGGATGCTCTCTGGTAATGTTGGGCAGCACATGCTCACTTGGCCTGATGGCCTATATCCTGTAGAGGCTGGGTGCTAGGCTGCAATGCTGGTCAGGCTTGGCATGTTGAATGCATTGTCTACTCCAACAGGCTATGGCATGTGCGCCTCACAAGTTGCTTTCTGTGTTGGATATGCTGAAAAGACTGGAAGGGTAAGTGGGTCTGTTGGTCAAGGCCTGCCCTCCATGGGAAGGTCCGTCAGTCAAGGTCTGCCCTCTGTGGGAAGGTCCGTCAGTCAAGGCCTGCCCTCCATGGGAAGGTCCGTCGGTGAAGGCCTGCCCTCCGTGGGAAGGTCCGTCAGTCAAGGCCTGCGCTCCGTGGGAAGGTCCGGCGGTCAAGGCCTGCCCTCCGTGGGAAGGTCCGTCGGTCAAGGCCTGCGCTCCGTGGGAAGGTCCGGCGGTCAACGCCTGCCCTCCGTGGGAAGCTCCGTCGGTCAAGGCCTGCGCTCCGTGGGAAGGTCCGGCGGTCAACGCCTGCCCTCCGTGGGAAGCTCCGTCGGTCAAGGCCTGCGCTCCGTGGGAAGGTCCGGCGGTCAAGGCCTGCCCTCCGTGGGAAGGTCCGTCGGTCAAGGCCTGCCCTCCGTGGGAAGGTCCGGCGGTCAAGGCCTGCCCTCCGTGGGAAGGGCGGTAAGTCAAGGCCTGCCCTCTGTGGGAAGGTCCGTCAGTCAAGGCCTGCCCTCCATGGGAAGGTCCGTCAGTCAAGGCCTACCTTCCAAGGCCTGCCCTCCATGGGAAGGTCCGTCAGTCAAGGCCTACCTTCTGTGGGAAGGTCCGTCAGTCAAGGCCTGCCCTCCGTGGGAAGGTCCGTCAGTCAAGGCCTACCTTCCATGGGAAGGTCCGTCAGTCAAGGCCTGCCCTCCGTGGGAAGGTCCGTCAATCAAGGCCTGCCCTCCGTGGGAAGGTCCGTCAATCAAGGCCTGCCCTCTGTGGGAAGGTCCATCGGTCAAGGCCTACCTTCCGTGGGAAGGTCCATCAGTCAAGGCCTGCCCTCTGTGGGAAGGTCCATCAGTCAAGGCCTGCCCTCTGTGGGAAGGTCCGTCAGTCAAGGCCTACCTTCCGTGGGAAGGTCCGTCAGTCAAGGCCTGCCCTCCGTGGGAAGGTCCGTTGGTCAAGGCCTGCCCTCCGTGGGAAGGTCCGTCAGTCAAGGCCTGCCCTCTGTGGGAAGGTCTCAGGTAGCACCAGAGGAAAGGGCTCTGTTCAGAGCTGCAGTGCTGGTGTCTGGGCCAGGCTGACCACAGCATGCAAAGTTGGTAGTAGACACCCAGCACCATGCTTCAAATCAGGTTCTAAATTTTAGCACTAGTAAATCCTTGATTTTTAATACATTTTATTTACCTCAATTTTTCAATTTTCTGAGTCAGACATGGTAAATCATGTCTGTAATCCTTGCCTCAGGAGGCTGAGGCAAGAGAATCCTCCAGTAAATCAGAGGCTTGGGCTCTGTTTGGGCTATATGGTGAGACCCTGTCTCAAAATCCCACCCCTCATATTTTTAATTTTCTTTCATCTTAGAGCTGGTAAATGGGCAGAATTCAAATGGCTTACTACAGAAAGTTTAATCATGTGGCTTCTTTAGCAGTGGAATCAAGTAGGCAGAAATAGCCATGGAGTTGGCTGTGATGAAGTGTGTATTCACAGTGGGGACAGGAAGAGGGATGAGTGCAGGAGAGAAGCTGCGTGTGACGGTGCTGCCATGTCACGCAGTGCACTGCAGCCTGCTCACAGCTGGTCTGCTTTACAGGGCCCAGAGTCGCTCCCCAAACAGGCACCATCTGCACAGCTCTACCACACGGACACTTTCATACTGTTGTCCTCCGGCCCTGAGTTCCGGCTGCTAAAGTGCCCCCTTGAGCCCTGCAGGGTGACATTCGAAGGTAGGTTGCTCTCCGCCTCCCAGCCCACTTTTCAGTTCTTTCCCATCTCCATCCTCAGAGTTACATACTTTAAAATCCTAAACTTGAAAAAACATTTGGAGGGTGGGGTTAGATATCAGCTTCTTAATTTCCCTAGGATTAGCACACACCCCTTTGTTTCCAAGATTTAAAATCATGTCTCTCTTTGCTCTTATTTTGTTTGTTCCTTTTACTCCTGTGGGTTTTGATGTAAGTCACTTTGCGACAATGTTAGGCTTGTGAGGCAGCAAAAGGAAAGTCTGAGTATATTTTTATAACATTCATGATACACAAGAGGTTGTCTATAACTGGTGTATCTTTACAAATAAGTAAGAAGATACTACTACTCTCTAGTAGAAAACTAGCCAAAGATTTATAACGATAAATAAATGTGCTCTTACCCAGTTAGAATAGAAAGTATCCTTAATACTTGAGGTTGTCAAAGGAAGGCAGAGAAAACCTGCCATGAAATACCTTTCCTTCTGTTTATTTGGAAAATTGTACAGTGATAAAGCTAGTATGTGTCATGGGACTGGAGAGATGGCTCAGCAGTTAAGAACACCGGTTGTTCTTGCAGAAGGACCCGGGTTTGAATCCCAGCACCCACATGGCAGCTAACAACTGTCCGTAACTCCAGTTCCAGGGGATCCAGCAGCCTCTTCTGACCTCGCGGGGCATTGTATGACACAGGCGCACTTACGTGCAGGCAATACACGCATACACAAAATAAAAATAATAATTTTTTTTTAAAAAAAGGTGTGTGTCTTTACAGGGCTCCACAGGAGCAGGAGTTAACGTCAGTCTTGCAAGAGATGTTCTGAGGGCATGCCCATCTCTGACTCTGTATTCCTCCTTTAGACATTTATCTTAAAGAAATAGCCATGGACAGGTAGAAAGATTAATGCCAAGATTGTTCATGAGGTAGCTGTTATGTAGAAACACCGAGACATTTTCATGTATAGTTAAACAGTGGTATATTCACATTGTCTAATTCAATGCAAACATTAATATGTTACCTAGAAGAATATTTAATAATAATGAGAATTTTTTGATATTTAAACCAAGAATTGTTTTAGTACAGTTTTATATTTAAAATGTCTGGAAGGTAATTCATTACAACGCCCAGCTTATATAAGGACAGACTTTTGGTTTTTCCTTCAACATTTGCCATCTTAAAAAGAAAACATTTCATTTTTGTTCTGAGTGCAAAGTTGCTAAAAAGCAGAGGTAAATGTACCCTCATGAGTGATTTACAACATGTCCTGTTGGAGTTAATTCAGACTCTTGGATGCTGATGCTATATTTCTGCTTAGTCTGTTAGTCGTTATGGGCAGGACACATTACCTCATCTTAGCAGGGCAAAATGACCTGAGTTGGGGTGGGGAGGTACCAATTTCCTGTTTGTGTACCTTGGAACCATGTGTTGGGCCAGATTTGTAGTGTCAGAACCATCCTGCATTCTCCAGGATCAGAGTGGGATCCAGCCTTTCATACCCCTCTCATCCCAACCCACCCCATCTCACCCACTGAACCCTCCTCTGTCCCATCCCATCTACTGTGTCCTACTCCATTCCATCCCGTCCCACCCATCCCAAAGCAGAAAGCACTGTCTGCTGTGATTGGCAGCTCCTGTCAGGAGCACTGGTAGCAAAAGCAGGTGAAGTAGGTCCTAGGAAGGACTTCTGCCCATTGGTGAACAGCTCACTGCCAGACACTTTTGTCTTGAAAGTCACCGGTGCTCACTCTACTGTGATCACCACTGTAGGCTCCAGAATTTGATCACCTGGTTAGGCAGATACAGGCTTAGAACACATATCCAAAATACAGCCCAGTTGGTACAATGAAAAGTAGGAGTCATGGATTCTGAAAAATGTTCTTTTATTTCTGAAAGACAATTGAGGAGGATGACTGCTTATACCTGGTTGGATCATCTGCCTGACCTTCGCTCTAGGTTTCTTTCTTGCTGCATAGATCAGTCCTGGCCATCTTTCTGGAAGATCTTCCCTCATCCTTTCTCTAGTTTTAATGTGTTTTTCCAGATGAAGTAACTTCTCTTCTGCATCCTTCTGTGTAATTCTAAGCAGTTTTTCATTATGGCTTCTGTGTGATCTGCATCCTGTCCTTACACATTTATTTCCAAGCCTCCCTGGAGACTTGACTTTATACTCTTGTCTGTGTGTACCACCTTCTCCTGTGCCACTCCAAACCCTGAGGCCTGCTCCTGGGTTCTGTTGCTCTGTGTCCCATCCCAGAGCTCTTCAGTCTCAGATGTGCTGCTTTCCCAGAAAGTGCCCTCTACCACCTGCAGGACTTCTACAATGTATGTCCTCATGCTGGACAGTGTTGGTGTCTTCCCTGGGCCTGGCTGGTTTCTCTGGAATGCCTGCCTGGCTATTTTGGTACCTTGTTGTCTTGTCCTTGTCCAGCCATGGTCCCTGCTGGGCTCAGGCCACTTCCTGGAATGGCCTACCAGTTACTTTGCCTTAGGAAATTATTTGTATGGGTAAAGATGGTGTCTCCATTAAAGCAATACCCATGCTTGTGTTATCTGTTCACACCACTACCTGGCTCTGAAAATAGTAAGGACTTGTATTTAAGATGAAATATTAGCACTTTAGAATCAGTTGAGTGCTTAAAAGAGGATGTCTAACTACTTTAGGGTGAAGAGACAAACTTGCTTTCTTGTAGTTGGTGGTGAGTTATCTGGGACAATATAAGATAGTGTTGTTTTCATGCATCTTTCCTAAGGAAAAAAATCTCTAGAATTTCTTAATGGAAAATGGAATTTTTTCCTAAAGGAAAATTAAAGTGATTTGTTCACTCATTCCCTTAGTATTATAAGTTACAACTAAGTGATATGAAACTATTTTCATTTTTAGGTTTTTAAATGTAGGATGCTTAGTAGTAATTAGAGAGAAGCAAAAACATTGGTCATCTTTTTTCTTCCAGGTATAAACCAAAGAGCAGGTGCAAGTCTGTTTTTAGGCTCCCGATGACCAGTGGGTCAGATGTGACCAGTCTGTCAGCAGTAAATGACTTTTACTCCTGTATCCTTTCTCCAAGTCTGCCAACATGCCATGCACTGAGCATCATTCTCTTGCAAAGCCCTTTCTAAGAATTTGAGAAGCCTAGGGTCCTGCTGGGCACTGAGGACAGATGAATGGTTCCCATCATAGAGCTTGGAGTCTTTTATAGTAATCGTAGGGGGAATACTTTCATCTCAGTAGTAAGAAGTGCCTCAGAAGAACCCTGGATTATGACAGCAGGGTGAGATCACCAGACTTTAAAAAATTTTTATTTATTATTTTTAAATTTTATGTATATGAGTGTATTGCCTGCATGTGTGTAAGTGCACCCGTGTCATGCTGTACTGGAGGAGGTCTGAAGGAGGTGCCGGATTCCCTTGGAGCTGGAGTTACAGATGGTTGTTAGTGCCATGTGGGTTCTGGGAATCAAACCCAGGTCCTCTGTAAGAGTAGCCTGTACCCTTACCCTCTGAGCCATCTCTATAGCCCATACCAGACTTGTAGTCTACATTAACTGAATAACACAGTCATGTAGCACATTTTCTTTTTTTAAAAATTTTATTTATTTTTACTTTTTATGTATATGAGTGCTTTGCTTGCATGTATGTAAGTACACTCTTATCATTCAGTGCCTACTGAGACCAGAAGAGGGCATTGGATTCCCTGGGACTGGCATTAAGGATGGGTGTTAGCTGCCATATGTAGGTACTGGGAACTGAACTCAGGTTCTCTGCAAGAGCAGCCAGTCTTAACTGCTGAGTCATCTTTCTACATTAGTACATTCTCTTAGTGAACTTTCACACTTGCTATTGGCATCCTGGGGTTACATGAACTGGTCTGGCAGGTACCGTTGACAAGGCAGGGCACAGAGTCTATAGCTATGCTGACAACTAGCTACGTTAGGGCTGTGCTGCACCTCACACAGCTGGTTCTGTCTTCTCATTCTTAGCTCAGACTGTGCATGTCTGTCATTGGTGGAATCTCCACTAGGGTGTGTCACAGCCATATCGTGTGCCCTGTCTAAGGGCAGAGCTCATGCTCTTCACCTTCTGCTGTCCCTTCAACTGCTACCTACTGCCCCCTCTGGAGCCAGAGCGAGGTGGGGTGAAACTGCGTGGAATCTTCCTCTGGAACTTCATAAATTCTTTATTAATTATCCATTTCTGAGTCTTGTGAGGTCACAAATTTCTTGGTAGTAAAATGGGTAAAACTGTGTCTCCACGGGTGAAACTACTGAGACCCCTAACTGGATTGCTGCAGACATGGTTCTCACAGCTGGCCAGGACAGGACTATGGGAATTTTTTATCTCAATGCTGGCTGAAGTGCTACTGTGATAGCAGAAGCCCATACACGGCCTGTCCATCAAATCTGTCAAAATAAGGTAAGTTTGTAGACAGTATATGGATATTATAAAATTTTGTGCTTAACGTGTTTAACAGTAAATGTATTACAATGCAATTCTATAGCTGCTGCCAGATTGAACATTAATGCTTACTGATCATCAAAGAATGTTAAACTTCTTGTTTGGCTGCAGATGTTATAATAATGTGTGTGGAACTTTTTGTTCTTTTGCCTTTGATTAGCTTTGGGTCCATGTCAATGTCTACAGACTAGTGATGTGTGCCCACCTAGGCTAGGATGGAGAGTATGAGTGTGTATGTGTATGCAATAGAGGGACTGAATGGCAGTTACATCCCTGTAGATTGTGACACAGTTGCTGAATCACAGCATTTCCTTAATGTGTTTGATACATTTGCCCTCTTTGACAAGGGTATGATTTAAAGATGTTCTCAGCTGTGTTGAAGGTTGCAATTAATAGTCTAATGGGTGTTTAGTCCCAAAGGTGCTTTGTTACCTTAAAAAGTCATCTAAGGCCTATGAAAAAGCTGTGCTTAAAAACATTTTCATGAATATGTGCATATGCTCTATGCATACATGTTTGTGTGTGAGGGTGCACATGTACCATGGAACACATGGTCACATACATGTGGTCACAGGACAACTTTGGGTGTTGGTCCTCGCCTCCCACCTTATTTGAGACAGGATCTCTCTTGCTGCTTAGTTTCATTCTTCTACAAGTGGAGATCCAGTTTTGCCAGCACCATTTGCTGAATATGATGTCTTTCCTCCAGTTAATATTCTTGGCCCCTTTGTCAAATAACACGTGGCTGAAATTGTATTTACTCATATTTGGGTCTTCAGTTTTGTTCCATCGGTCTATGGGTCTATTTTTGTGCCAGTACCATGTTGTTTTTATGACTACAGCTCTGTAATACAGCTTAAAATCTGGTATAGCAATTTCCCTGACATTGCTTAGTACTCAGGGTTGTTTTGGCTATCCTAGGTCTTTTGTTCTTCCATATGAATCTTAGGATGGTTTTTTTCCAATTCTGTGAAAAATGTCGTGGGGATTCTCATTGGCATTGTG